TTTCTGCAGGTTGCCCTGGCCCTGGAGCTCTACATCTCTGATGAGCAGTCACCGGCCACATCGACCTGATCAGTGTTTGATTGTTGTGTCTTGTTGCTTTTCTTCTTTTGTCTCTCCTCTATCCACTCACCCCAACCGGTCGAGGCAGAAGGCCACCCACCAAGAGCCGGGGTCTGTTGGAGGTTTCTTCCGTTAAAGGGAGTTTTTCCTCCCCACTGTCGCCAAGTGCTTGCTCAAGGGGGATTTGTTGGGTTTTCCCTATGTAATAATATTGATAACAGTAAGGTCTAGACCTTACTTTGTAAAGTGTCCTGAGATGACTTTTGTTGATATTTGGCGCTATACAAATAAAATTTGATTTGATTTGAGATTTTTCAGATGGAACAAGTCAGAGATCAAAAAGAGTGTCTGAAAATATGTTGTGCTGCAGAAACATTTCATCAGACTCAGCAAGTTTGAGCAGGACTGCATTTCAAGCAGGGTGTTGTGTGTATGTTGTGCACACCATGGGATTTCTCCCTTCCCCCCCAACTTGCAAAAACTTTTCTACAGGCTGAGTGAAATCTATGTTTTGTTATTTTTGGTCAGAGTCACGTCAAGGTCAAAATGACGGTCTGACCAGTTGTGGAATCACTTCTAATGTTTATTAAATTGGACTGTGTGTGCACGTGCATATCTTTGCATGGCTGTGTGTATGTGTATTTTGCTGGTGTGACATCCTGGCCATGACGCTGAACATCTGTGGGGTGATTCATTCGGCTGTGGATGTGGAGTGACACCGAGGCACATCTGCTGAGGTGCGGCCATCCCTGCACCCTGCCCCTCACAGGGCCCCAGCTTCACCACCCAATCCACTTTTCTGATGATTACGTTTTTCTGGATTTTCCCTCTTCTTCGCCACGGCTGGTTCACAAAAGTGACATCCTGCCTCTTTCTCCAGTTGTGCACATTGGAGAACAGCAGATGTAGAACCTTGGGGCGATTTAGAAATGGCAAACACAATGAAACTCAAGAACCTGGGAAAAAAGAAGCGATCCCAGATAAACCTTACTTTGTCCTTTTTTTACCATGGCAAAATTAAAGTAATGTTAAAGATATGTTTTGCTTTTTGAATGTAATGCAGTTACAATAGCAGAATATAATGAAATGGTGCTCAACAGAAAATTTTAATACTTTTATAAATCAAGAAAAAATTCCAAATATTTACTTAAGTTTCACAAATGAAAAGATTTGCTGTTTTTTTCTCTGTTACATATCCTTGTGAATGGAATGTCTGTGTTTTGAACTGTGCTGAGAATACGTTATAGGTGTTTTTCCCCTATCATCTCATATTGTAGACTAAGCAATTAATTGATGGATTAAAAAAAGACAGACTTACTGCTGGTGCAAATTACCATTAGTTGCACCCGTAGATAGGATTGTGTTTTATCTTGATGAAGAATCATCCTCGGTATGTATTAAATACTGTATTCAGTGAGTTGTTTCTTCAGTCTGCTTTTAAGAAAAGCCGTGTTATTGCGAGCTCACGATAAACTTATTCCACCCAAATGGAAAGATTGAGAAATCATTTTAGTTTAAGTGACAGATGCTTCTCTTCGCTACTGTGCGGGGCATTGTAATCACTTGAATGACTACAGCTTGACTAATTAAGGTTATGCAGTTGGCTGGCTCTCTCCAAACAAAGCTCAAGTAATGTGGATTGTGTTGTAGCACATCCCCCATAGTATAGTACAGATGAGAGCAGAGCTGATATGCTGTTCGCTCTGATGTGTCAGTGGGAAAACTGCTAAAAAGATCAGTCAGTCTAGCACTTGATTTTCAACTTTGCATTCATGTTTCCACTTAGCTAAAGATATAATTTGGTTGTGGGAAAATAAAGTAATAAATTGATTGAAATTATTGTCTAGCTGTGCCTCTCTCAGCCCTGCTGTTACCGTGATGAGAACACAGAGGAATATGACTGTAACACATTAAACAGAAATAGCTGATGACTAACAAACACAGCCAGTGCAGGTGATAATGACTGAAATGCATCGAATAGCCGTTCTTGAGCTCACCATGCACGTTTGGCACAGATAGAGTCCAAGGACACATAAGGCCTTTGATCCTGCCTCTGGGGCGTCCCAGATGTTGCAGCACGGGGCAATGTCAAGTCTGGTTTATTTGTAGAGGTAATGCCCAGCCATTAAATGTGCAACTCATCCATCAAACAAAAAGGAGCATTTTAGGAATGCTTTTTTCTTTGCATGACTGAGCAGTTGAGGTTTGTCAGTAAAGGGAGTCTTGATAGACCATAACCACATCTTGAGCTACATGTGCGTTACAGGGCCCAGGACACAATGTTTATTCAGGGCACTCATGGGACACATCCTCTCCTAGTTAAAGCAGACGACTGGAGATATTATTTTTCATGTGAAGTAAAAGAAAATGCAGTATTTCACTTCCACTGGTGTCACTGAATTTGAAGTTGTTCTTCCTGAAATCACTGAACAATTTTAATCATAAGGAACTCATCTGAGTGCACTCGGATGGATTGGACATCTTTGAGAAAGGTCTCAGCCAGTAGGTGGCAGTACAATACCTGAATCTACAACTTCCTAAATCAAGACTCCTCAATCATTTCTAAGAATAATCACCCTCCTATTTAAGTTTTCAACTTAAGATATACAATCAAATCTGCCCCAGTTATTAAAAGTGATTTATTGAACTGTTATTGTTATATAATATTAGAGATATCCTTATTCAAATACAAACTCTGACTTATCACAACATAGAATAAAACCTGCACTTACCATCTGTATCACTCAGTTGTTTTTTACTGAGCAGTGATTTTGGCTTTAGCAATCAATTTGAAAAGCAAAGGGAAAACATGTTATATAAAATAAGATACTGTGTAATTTGACTTCAAGATCCATTGATTAAATAGTGAGTGACATGCTCCAGAGTGTTTTCACCAATCTTTATATAACTAATGCACAGCTTAAAACCACACCCATCTTTAGGCTAAATTGCTTGTCTTTAAAATATAAGGATGAGATGTAAGAAAAAAAAAATTTGCCTTTTAATCTTTTGCTGTTCTAAAATATGCCATGATTATAAAAATATTTTTTGTAGAGGCATTTGGTTTTGTTCTTTTTTTTAGTCAAAAACAGTTCGGACATTCTCTTTGGATTACTTTTTGTAAATATTAAAAAATGCTCACTGATCTTAAACCATTTTTCTTCACCTCTGTGAGAGAATATCTTCCTTCACTTTGTAAGCCAAGTGCAGTGTTTATACTTACTGCTTATAGTCTTTTTAAATATATTTTTTCAGTATTGATGGTATCATTCTTTCAACCGGTAAGGTGAAGGGACAGGGAGCTCTTGGAAATATGTGTCACACCATTTCTCCCCCAACTGTAACTTCAGTCCCCACTGAAAGCCAAAGCCCAGAGGATCTAATGGGTTAATTTCAGAACTTGTTGCTTCAGTAGTTTTAACACGATGAATTTTCTTTGTTTGTTAAACAACAGACCTCGAGAATGGACTATTTTATTGATTGTTAAGTCACAAAATGATGACACTTGTGACTGCACTGAAAACGGCAGTGAGTATTTTGTAGCTTATTAAGATACTTCTCAAAATGTATTTCCTACAGTTTTTAAAGTCAGAAAGGTGCCTGTACAATCTGCTACATTTGCTGCCTCTACTCCGAATTAGAGATTTATTTTCTGCGGAGAAAAAAAAAATCAATTAGTGCTAAATTTATTCATGGATTTCTGCGATCAATACGAGTTCACTCGGAGGGGCTCCATGGGCCCCAGTTCATCCCAGTTAATGTGTTTGAAGGGGAATTACCATTGATGTTGTTTTTGCTTCCTCTCAGGTCAAAGAGTATCTTGGAGCTGTCACCGCCTGCCTGCCACATGGGAGGAACACCATTACCCAGAAGGCACCTGGACAGGAGAAAGGATAGCATTGTGAAGGAAAGACATTCAGGTTGGTTGGCTGTGCTGAATCTTACACACCCGCTGTCAGGGAGTCTCTTATTAGAACTAACTGTGAATCCAATCATGGCTGGGAACACTGTGTATTGATTTACCCCACTAAACACATACAATAAATAAATACAGAGGGAATACGTTATGTGTAGATTCACTCAGAAATGGTACTCGCGGCCACAGAACATTCATATAATCTACTGGTCTGCTACAGTAGGTGAAAAACAGCTGTTCCTCACACTCTCTTAATTGGTTGCAACCACTGTAATTTTAACTCGCACGACCTTTCATGACTTCTTGATTGTTTTTGTAATTCTTGCATTCTTCGTATTGCTACTCCGAAAGATACTGTGTAATCCTCTGAAATGTTCCTTCAAGGATACTCTTTTCACTCTTCGTATTGATTTCAAACATTTCCTGCACACAGGCTATATTTCAGGTCAATTAAGCATATTTGGGCATTTGCAAATCGTTTTTTCCCTCAGATCCTGGGGCTCTAAAACTGCACTTTTGGCCCTAACAGCACCGCTCACATTCTCTGTGGAGCTTGACATTTTGATCCGCAACAGAGACTAAATGATAACCGTTTCCTTGTAAATACTGTTGCCTGCGGGGGAGGGTTTAAATAGACCAAGAAGGACTTTTCACTCACTTACTTGTTTATATTCGCAACTCATCTAAATATGGACAGCTAAAGCATTTACAGTAGAATATAGCGTGCATTGTGGGCAGCAGTGTGAGGCTGCAGATTAAGTAGTGCAGGGGGGGGGGGGGATGCATAATTATTGTTTGAAATTTTCCGAATTCTTCTGCTTTTACACTTACAAATTATGTAATTATGACTACTTGTGAGAAAGCTAACGAGTAGGTTATGACTGTTCAGATTGGCCTTTCTTCACCAGACAATATAATTCCATTATCAGTTTTTGCCACTGTCTTTGTTTTGTTTTTACTTAGAATATCTTTAAGGTTGTTTTTGGTCATGTATGAAAAAACAAGCTCCCTTTGTTTGAACTGCTTAGTCTTGGCATCTGTGGTCATTAGGGCTCTCCTCTCACTGAGAGCAAAAACACTCCATTTATTATTATTATTATGCATTTATTTATTTATTTCAAACATGCTGACTGCTGTCTGAGCTCACATCCACATCTTAAAGTATTTATTTGAACCCAACTAACGCCCTTCTCTTAAACAGTTTTGAATATAAATGCAGAAAGAAATTGAATAGTCATTTGCTGATTTCGTTCTTTTTTTGATATGCTTTCCCTCCATTTTCAGGAAAAAACAATAATAAGTAAATAATTCATTTTGCCAATAAGTGTGGAGATGGAATGGAATATTTATTTTGCCTTTAGAGAAAGTCAGTGCTGAAGTTTGACCCCTTTGTATTGTCATGACAACCTAAGGTCTCTGACACTTCGTGGCGAGTAGATGACAGCATCCTCCTACTACTGCTGTGTACTGTATATGGTGAACTGGCAGCACCCACACCGGGGAAGATTGACATAAATACTTTTTAATTGAGCTGCAAATGTTGTCATGAGATGGAGACATTACTTTAGCATCCCTAAGGGGAAAATCTCCTCATACAACAAGAAAAAGAAATGTATAATTAATACAGACAGTGATATTATGCCCGATGTGAGCCTGCACAGATAGGGTAGTATTACATTTTACAGTGGTGCTTATGAGTCTTTCCCAGATTGCTGATAGAGTTCAGCACTCAGTGGCTGGCTCCAGGGAAAGATTTTGCCATGTCACATCCTTATCAAAAAAACATTTTGCTTCTTCTTGCACACAAAGTTCTTTTTCAACAAGAAGGCCTGTAATCTGTGCATAGATCTTTCTTCAGCACCCCCCTTTCAATGCTCTGCTGAAGATCAATTGTGTTTGTACTGTATGTGAATGTGCATCAAAGAGTCCCCACAGTCAGTGCCTCCACTTATAAGGTAATGTACTGACACGGGAGATTCCACGGGGACTGTGCAGAGCTCTCCATGTACAGAGGCTGTGCAGCAGAGGGAGGGGTTGGGAGGAGGGGGAACACAGCAGTCCTATAGCCTGACAGGAGGAAGCTGGATTGATACCACACCACTTGCAGTACACAATACTATCATCAAGTGCAAAGCACATGCATATCAACTTTAGATGCATGCAAACATATGCACATACTAAGTCGGTGGCTGGTTTTAGCGTGAAGCACTCGTTACCTGGCTGTTAGCCATGCTGATATGCTGTTCTCCCATCGAACACCTATTCTGTTTCACAGACCCATGGGGATACACTGTCAATGAGAACTTTCATAGCAGCAAAAATCACTCACCCAATTGTTTTATTAATCCTTCAGACTTATGAAGGTAGCTGTCTATGCTGAAGGCAAGTTATTCCCATGAATTTCAATATTAAATTGACCTTATACCTAGTCAGGTTTAAGTCATAAATCCATAGTTGTTCTTCTGTGAGAACTGGATTGCCTGGCGCTCACCAGCTCCTCCTTCCTCTGCTCGCTCTTTTCCAGCTGAGGTAGGAGGCAAGTTATATATAAGGCTGGGGTTTTGCTGGATTTAACCCAGCCAAAAGAGAGAAGTATGAGGATGCAAGTAATGATCTGTGCTTAAGTTTGAGTCTATATTTGGGGTGCAATGTCCTTTTGATGTGTATATGTGCTTTTTGTGTGTATATGGATATGTGGATACATAGGCAGTGACAGAAGGTGACTCCTGTATCGGTAGTTCATTTGCTAGGGCGGACTCCACCGGCTGTCATTTTTTCTACCTGACCGTGTCACCTGGACGGTGTTAAATGGAATGTTTTTGCCTCTGAAGCCATCCTGAAACAGAAACGCAGGGAGAACTATATACCAGGCCCAGTGACAGGTTCTCAAAACAGGCAGGCCATGAATATGCAAGCTCTTCCACAAGCAGCCAAGAAAAAAACTGCTTGATGTGGCTGAATCTGAAAATAAACAATTTTGCCTTATTCAAGTAGCAGCACTGACATTTTCAGCATATTTCTGAGTCTCACTGTCTCCTCAATTTTATTTCCTCAGCAGGAGTTAGAGGCGAGAGTTTCTTGCCTGTTTCATCACTAATGTTTCAATTTACTGTCACAACTTAATGAAAATGGCAGCGGCATGTACTAAAGGATAAAAAGAAATCATAATTGGATATTTTTGAGAAGTTATGATATTAGTGCATTTTGTAATTGTGATTTTTCACAAATAACATGTTTTGACTGATTGGGTTAAGGACGACCTCTTTGCTCCACATGTGCTTCTGCCCTCCCCTGGTTCATGCAAATCAAGTGAGCATGTGTCTTTGATATTGAAATGATCATGCTGGGTTCCTACAAACATATCAGCAGACAAAACAGAACTGAGTGCATGTTCTTATTGTACGTTGCATGTTCCTTACCACAGTCTTGAGTTTCTTTGTGATCTGAACTAGCTATTTTGTTGGTTTAAAAAAAAAACTATTGATATTATAGCTACAAATCATGTAAAAGCAGACTGAGAATGACAATTTTACAGTTAGAATAAACACAGCATCGCAAGCGACTAAGATGAAGTAGTTACAACTGAGGTTCAGTGTAGATACAAAACAATTAAAGACTGAAACTAATGAATAAATAATTTATGTTTTAGTGATTTTTTTTTTCAATTAATCACAAAGATGCGAAATTGTCACCTTTCAGTAAAATTTCCCATGTTTATGTCCAGATTGGTCACCCATGTGAATCGTGTGCAGATATGCTGTAAAAAGGTTTTGCCATTAAATCCAAAAGTCGATTTAGTAGAGTGGGCATGCAGTATTACACACTGTCAGTGCTAATGTTTTGTACATCAGCATCATACTCTAGGTGACTCCCAGGTCCCCTTATTTTATTGTTCCTCTGTCCTTGATCCCGCATCAGTTCGTTCTGATGAAGGACGTCCCAGAACTCTTATTTCTGCTCTGAAGAGCGAGGAGGCTTCCCAGAGGAGCTCTAAGTGAGGATACACAAGAGCATCTTTCATGGAAGCCCCTTACAGATTGACACGCCCCTTTGTTGAAATCAGTTTGTGATTGGATGCTTCACGTGAAGGCTCGAGGAAAGGATGTTCCTGAAACTTATTTACTTTATTTAGTGATGGTAAGATGGTGTACATTGCCATGAAGATTTGTTGTCTCTCCACCTTTTGCACAGATTACATAAGAACAAATCCTGCATACCACTTTAGAAGTATCTCTTAGTGGTCCTCTTTTGTTAGGCTAAAACCCAGAGTACTGCCAGGTGTGCAAAATCAAAAAATGTGGATTAAAGTGGTGTAAGAATCTGATTAAAGCTTCAGTACATGACTTTCTTGGATGCTTGGTGCTGTAGAAATGTTTATACAAAAAAGGAGATTAAATAACCAGATGTACAAGTGAATCATTAGCTATAGAAGACATGCACAGTCTAGGGGATTTATTAATGTGTGTCTGTGCCAGGGTTTGTAAAAGCTTGAATTCAGTAATATTGTTTTGATGGATATGGTCTTTAACAAGACAAATGCAGTGGTTAAACTGTATATCACAGTAGCTATTTTGTGGGTCTCAGAAGTCACAGCCTTACATGCTTTTTCATGCTTAGTGTCTTTTGAGGACACTGTGTTGTGTGACCCTTGGAGTTGCTCCATGTGTGTGTGTGTGTGCGACTGGATAGGGCTGGCACCACCTGATGGCCTGGCTCACCTAAAGAAACAACACATTGACTCACTAATTACCAGCTATTGTCTAGATAAGCTGTTGTAGAATTATTGGCTCGCTCCTTCCCACAACAGTCGGCGTGCTGTTTTCTGTTGCTCTGTTCACGTCTTGTAGATAGCAGAGAAATTAGAGCTTGATAGAAGTATTCTGATGTTTCCTGCCATGTGCTTTGTAGTCAGCAAATTTGGGGGAAATGTAAGGAAAGTGTGAAAAGGGTTCAGAGCAGGATCAGATTGGCCCACCGATAAAGTTCTTTTGGGCTGATCTCCGT